ATTTAAGAGGAGGAAGGTATATTGGATATGTTTATCACTTTTAATTAATTGTAAAAAAAATAAAGGTGCGATACAAATAAAAATATGCTAGCTTCTAATAATTCCACCTAGAGCAGTGTTTCTCAACCTTGGCCACTTGAAGATGTCTGGACTTCAACTCCCAGAATTCCCCAGCCAGCATTCGCTGGCTGGGGAATTCTGGGACTTGAAGTCCAGACATCTTCAAGTGGCCAAGGTTGAGAAACACTGCTTTAAGGGTCCCCATACACAGCAGCAACTCAATACCTCCTTCCTTCCTTCCTTTGCCTGCCCTTCCGTATCAACCTCTGTGTCAGCCTCACCTGTCTGCAAGGTTAACCCTTTTGAGCAGGGTTTCCCAACACTTGTCAACTTTTAAGACGCCTGGACTTCAACTCCCAGAATTCCCCAGTCAGCACTCCAAAAAAAAAAAAAAGAAAAGAAAGAAGAAACAAGAATAGGGAAAGAAACCAAAACAACCGAGTCTTGTTTTATTGAGAAAAAGCTTGGCTTATTTAAAACAATAACCTCTTCCAACGGTAACCAAAACAAAGGTGAGCCCAACAAGCCATAAGAACGTTCTCCGCCTTGGCAGAGGCCAACAGGTGTTGGGACAAGATGGAGGAGCTGCGTGGGACTTAAGAGTCATGTCCTGGCTCGTCCTTCGGCCTCTGTGACTAATTGCGATCTAAAATGTCACGCGGCTGAAAGGACACACCACCAGATAAGCTGGGAAGACAACCCTACATAACATAAGGAGCTTGGGACTCTCCCCTCCCTTCTGGCTTGATGCTCAGATGTCACCGAGGTAGGAGGTGGGTGGGTGGGGCGCAGGAGAAAAGTCACTGTCCTTGTCTTGTCTTCCAAGCAATTATGGCACCATCGTTGTGTGTGTGTGTGTGCTTGAGTGCACAAGACGGGTCTTCAGGGAGAGCCCCAAAGGGCTCAAGTGGCTGGAGAGAGGAATGGCAAAAGGTGGCTTCCGGGCTTCGAGAAGCCAAACACAAGCAGCGCGCAACCCCTTGTTTCGTGGTATCTTCGCTAATGGATTTGGAGAAGATTGGGGAGTTTCTGGTCCAGGGAGACCAAGTAAGGAAGAGAAGGGGGGGGGGGGAGCTCTTCTACTGGCCGAACCTATTCAGGGCCGAAGCACTGCCCTTCCTAAAGTTGAAGGTGACTTAAAAACTCTGGATTGCTTCACGCTACCACATCATTCCATTGGGACTAATTTAATAACTTCCCCCTATGGTTTGCTACTAAAAAAGAGAGAGAGAGAGAGATAAGAGAAAGAACAGGACATTCTTGAGTCAGGGATGATGGCTCTTTTCTTAAACTAACTGGCAACATTTTCTTGAAATGTAATTTCCCCGTGCCTTCCGTTTTCCTTTCCCCAACTCTCAAGATTCAGCAGTGAGGACGAGGAGAAAAAACTTTATATGTGGTTAAAACGTAAAAGGCTAAAAGATCTCTCACTGATTTTCTGTTTTCCTTTTTTTTTTATAAAAAGGATGCAAGGATGTTCTAGAAATATTCTTGGTTTTACAGCAGGAAAGTGTCAGAAGAAACATCTAAGCCGACTGCTTAGATCTCACATGTCACCTGAGAGAGGGGGTGAGAGGGAGGGAAGAGAGAGAGAGAGAATATAGAGAATTAGGTTCAACTAACACATTATCTTGTTGTTTACACACACCCACACCCAGAGTTAAGGGCAAATCCAACTATCCCAACCCCAGCTAAGGATGACTTCAAAGCACAGCATGAAAAGAACGCCAGCTGGGAAGTATGCGAGACTTCATATGCACTAAAGGAAGCCGATTGGGAGAAAAGAGTTTTAAAAATTTTGAATGGTGACCACTCTCTTACATGGAGAGGTTCTGGGTAGCACCGATTGTGGGATCAATACATCACATTCATTGTTGTGGCCCGTCAGCAGAGCTGGCAGAAGATTCGGAGAGTGTGGAGGTTGGGGAGGAACCTGGGCCAGTCCTGGAGCCTGGGGAAGACTCTGATGAGGGCTCTGTGTCAGAGGCAGAGAGGGGGCCAGGGCCGTATGCCAGTTAATAGCTGCCTTCGGAGTCAGACATCACTGAGGCAGAAGAACAGCTGGAGCCTGTTACCAGTGTGCGCATGCGCAGAGTCGCCAGACGAAGGGAGCAGCTAAGGAACAGAGGTCAACTTGGGAGTAAGGCCACAGGTGGACGATGAATGGCCCCTCCCAGGGGAAATAAAAGAGGAGTGAAAGGGGAGTGGAGTTTGCAGGAGACAATTAGCTTGCTTAATTGGTTCCTGACTCTCCGGAAATTCCTTGCCAAGTTTTGCAGATCTCGGCCTGGCAGCTCTCCAAGCCAGATAAGGTCTGTGACTGTAAATCCTCCTTTGAAAGACTTTGCTGGCTGTGAATGAGCAGAATTCACAGTCAATTAATAAAAGAGGCTTTTGTCAGGACCAGGAGTTTGCTTCATGCTCTTGGGAAGCCCCGCTCAGAACAGTCATATACAAACAGAGCAAAACCCATTCTCTTTT